CTCTTCTTTCATGTGCATGTCGGAAAGTGATAAATGTGCCTTTACTAACATGTAAATTGTGGTTGCTAGGCAATGGGTATAAGTTTAACCTGTGAGCATTAGAGACAGAAAATTTAGGATGGATTTTGTATAAAACTTAGCCTTGTCTTGCTGCTAAGGAAGACTGCCTAGGTGATTAGGTAGACAGAACAAATGTCTTAGAGGCTTCTCTGTCCTAGGGCCGGGGGGGGGTGGGGGGGGGGTTTCTCCAAGCCATTCATTTGACTCTGTCTCTAGAAAGAATCTCTTTTGTAGGCTGAGAAGTTCTCCAATTTGCCCGTTGATCTATTTTCCTCACTCTCTTTCAAAGAATTAGAGAGCAGTGGTTTAGATCTCTTGATTATTGATTTTGTTAGCATGCTTCCTTCTCTAAACATGACTGTAAGAGCAGAAATCAACTGTAACTCGTGCTTTTGGAAACACCTGCTGCAGTTAAAAATACAAGTTCCTGGGGAAGTCACGGCAGAAGAACACATTACAACTGTGGTTGGAGGTGCATTCACTGAAGACCAGGCCTCAAGATAAAGATGGAATGACTATACCTACGTATCTTGAGGGATAAACAATAATGATCAATATTCTAAATAGGCATCAGTCACCTTGGGAAGGGGACCAAGACCTCCTGGCCCATCCCCTCCAGGAAAGTTTCTTGTTCTTTTCATGTACACATGCTACATGACTTGCTTCCCCACTGGATCAACATTACCTCAGTGACTATACTTGTAATCTTATTGGCTGACCATAGTTTTGTCCCACCTTATGCCCACCTCGTGATTTTGTACCCACCTCGTGATTTTGTTCTATAAAACATTTGAGAAGTGGGCTCATGGGCAACCCACTTTTTTCTGGGTTCCTTCCTGTCTCTCTCAAGCAGGAGCTATCTCTCCCTCAATAAATATTTTCTACTCTTAGGAAACTGTTGTTCCTAGAATTCATTCTTCAATTTTAGAGAACACAAACTCAGCATATCAGACATCTAGAAGGTTGGGGGTTATAATACTTCTATCTTTTGGAGGTCCTATATCATCAATGTTGGCATAGAGATAAGATATACAGATAAATGGAGAAATTCAGACACCAGTAATAAACGCTCACATTTGCAGTTAACTGACTTTCAAAAGAATGCAAAGATTGCTGGGCGGGGTCACATACCCCTGTAACTCCAGCACTTGGAGGGCTGAAGCAGGAGGATTACTGCAAGTTTCAGGACAGTCTGGGCTACATGAGTTCAAGGCCAGCCTGGATTACATAGTGAGACCCTACCTCAAAATACAAAAAATCCCAAAAGAATGTGAAGATAATTCAACAGGGGCAAGAAAAGGTTTTTCGTGGGGTTTTTTTTTTTTTTGTGACAAGGTCTTGCTATGCATTTCAGGCTCACCTTAAACTCACTATGTAGCCCAGGCTGGCCTTGAACTTGCAGCAATCCTCCAGCCTCAGCCTCCCAAGTGCTAGGATTACAGGGGTGTGCCATCACAGCCAGCAAGAAAAGTATTTTCAAAAAATGATGCTCAGATAACTGCTATCTACACGCAAAAAGAATGAATTCAGACATCTTTCATAGGGTATGTGCATCTGTATTATAATATAAACATACATATACTGTATACATATATAACTCAAAATGGATCACAGCCTTAAAGGTAACTCTCAGAAGAAAAGAAAGTGTAAGTCTTCATGACTATGAATCAGACAATGATTTCTTAGGTGTGACACCAAAAAACACAAGCAACAGCAATAAAAAGTGAAATAAATTGGACTTCATCAGAAAAAAATGTGCAAACATAAGAGACTTGTACCCAGAACACACAAAAAACTATTACAACCCAATAAAAACACAACCCAATTTTTAAAGCATACAACTTGGACAGTAATCCAAACAAGATATAAATGGCCAATAAATACTTATTATGCTCAAAATCATTAGCCATGAAAGAGCTACATGTGTAAACTACAGTAAGCCAGGCCTGGTGGCTCATTCCTGTAATCCCATCTAGTTCAAAGGTCAAAGGAGAAATATTCCAAGTTTTCAAGGCCAGCCTGGGCAACTTATTGAGATCTTGTCTCAAACTAAAAAATAAAAAAAGACTGAAGATGTAATGTAGTTCAGTGGTACAGCACATAGCTTGCATGTGCAAGCTCCTGGATTCACTCTCCAGTCACGCAGTTAAAAAAAAAAAACCCTCAAAAAACAAAAGGCAAAACCACAGTAAGACACCACTTCATATCCACAAGAATGACTACAATAAATAAAAAAGACATATAATCACAAATGCCTGGCTACTGATGAGCGTGGGCAAAAGCAGATCTCAGAAGAGCTTGGCTGTGAGACTTGCATGCACACTACCTCCAGCACTAGCCTAGTCCCACATGCTCCTTCACCGTGTCTTTCATGTCCCTCAAGCCCCTCAGAGGAATCACCGAGACCATGGTCATCCTGAAAGAACAGAAGCCATGTGGCTGCCATAACCGCCATGCCCAAGAATAAAGGTAAAGGAAGTAAAAACAGGCACAGAGGTAAGAATGAGAATGAATCTGAAAAAAGAGAACTGGTGCTTAAAGACAATGGGCAAGAATATACTCGGGGAATCAAGATGTTGGGAAATGGATAATTAGAAGTGATGTGTTTTGATGGAGTGAAGAGGTTATGTCACATCAGAGGGAAGTTGGGAAAAAAGGTTTGGATAACTACCTCAGACATCATATTGGTTGGTCTCCGAGATTATCAGGGTAACAAAGCTGATGTGACTCTAAAATACAGTGTGGATGAAGCAAGAAGTCTGAAAGCATATGTGAGCTTCCTGAGCATGCTAAGATCAGTGAAACTGATACATTTGGTCCTGGAGATGGTGATGAAATTTAGTTTGATGACACTGAAGATGATGATGATGAAGACACTGATGATATCTTAATTGAACCCAGTATTTTATATTCCAGTTTTTCCAAAGACTGTCCTACAGTTTGGATTTTGGTCATAGAAGAACTTCCTCTAAGAAGAATTTTTCATTAGCATGATTGTAATTTATTGACAGTTTGATTTGTTTGTAAGGTATTTGTTTCTATAAAAACTTAATGCTGAATTATCTTAAGTGAAATGTTAAGCCCACTTCATTCTTTTGATGTAATGGAGCTCAGGGGAAGAAGACCTTGTGAATTTCAAAAATAGTGCATTACTGCCTTTCTTGCTTTGACCATTCCCAGTAGTTATTTCGAATAAGCCATTTGCCTGGTATTCATTATAGACTGTGATTAACCCCTAACTTCTGACTAGCCTATTAACTGTACAGAATCCCTCTGCATATTCTATTCTAGTTATCGAGATGTTCCTTAGAGATTTTGATACAATTTAAAGGAGGCCTAAATCTGCATTTGAATTAAAAAACAGGTCCTCCCCCATACTTTAGTAGCATATGGCTATTTTATATTAATGTTTTCATGATTTTACTTTACCATCATAAATATAAAGATATGGGCTGGGGGAAGCATTTGTTGAGGTTTTTTTTTTTTTAAATTACTGTACATGGGCTACTTTTATAGAACAGAAAGATTATGTTTAAAAATGTTATTTTCGGAAGTCAGTGTGTAGCTGAAATTGTGAATGCTTTATAAGCATTTAACTGAGGGCTGGGTGTGTAGCTCAGTGCAAAGTCCCTGGGTTCAATCCTCAGTACAGTACAGGGAGAAAAAAAAAAGATGGGTCTCTACTTTCTGCATGGAAGAGAGCGACCATGAGAAATATAATAAAACGCCATGCTGTAGAGTATGCTATATCCTCACTTTGTATTAAGGTTGCATTACGTGGGCAATTTTGGTTGGTGGTTATTTGTTTTTTATATTAGGAATTTAGGTTTACCCTTCCTTATTTCGCTCATCAGCTTTTCTAAAAAAATGAAGTTAGGGCTGGGCTAGTCAAACCCCACTAGTTATATTGAAATCATATGCCATTTTAAAGCAGATACATCATGTAGCTTGTGGAACTTTTACTGTGTTGGTCTGCAGGGAACTTTTTAGTGATGGAAAACACACAAGGGAATAAACAAGATTTTTTAAAATCCCACTTTTAACTAATTTTCTTCCTTAAGTATGCAAACCCTTGAATTCAAAATATGAGGTACTATAAACATTATTACAATGCATTGTTGCGGTTCCTGTTTCTTATACTATGGGACTTCTGTGCACTTACCTAAGTGGAATGCATCTAAGACCAAGGGCTGGTTTTTAATAACTCAGAAGAAACCATCCTTGAACAATTTATTTGGCAACTGTTTTCCTCAGAAACTCAAACCTAGGATATTTATACTTGTATATGTAACAATATTTTGCTAAATTTATAGTGCATATATGTCCCTGTGATTTTACAAAGAATGTTTGAACTTTTCACATGTGATACAGTTTTGGAAGGGATGTGCAACTCAAAACTAACCTCCTCTATCAAATATGGTTTAAGAGTTTTTAAAAAGTTACTATGACTCCAATTTATGTAACCTGCTGATGGTACATTTTCTCATGTGTTGGTAATAACAGTCCAATCTAGTGCTGTTTACATCCTGGAAAATCTAGACTCATAATATTAAAAATAGTTGAGGTATAGTTGTAGCTCATACACAGTGATACTTTGAGAAATTCTTTGACTAACTTATATTCAATGTGGAAATTGTAGTTTCACTGATTTGATTATATTTCAAGTAAGGAATGGACGTGGTCCATAAGAAAACCTGTTCTTGTTTTGTTTGCTTGGATGGTTGTTTTTTTTTTTTGGTTGTATTTTTGATTCCCATAATACAGTGCTATAAGCTATACTCAGAAAATAAAATATTTGAAATAAAAAAACAAAACAAAAAAGCCTACCAGGATGTGAAGAAATAAAAAATCCTCATATACTGCTGGTAGGAATGTAAAATAGTACAGTTTCCCTGGCAAAAAACTTTGCTGTTCCTCAAAAGGTTTGACACAAGAATTACCGTATGACCCCAAAATTCCACTGGAAGGTACATATCCAAGAGAAATTAAAACATTATGTCTATACAAAAACTGTACACTAGTGTTTGTAGAAACATTATTCATAATTCTAGAATCACGAGAATAACTCAGGGACCCACTGATGAACAGACAAAAGGTGGCATTATTCGTAAGTAGGAAAGTATTCAGCCAAAAACTGGAATGAACTAGCATGAACCAGCATGGATGAACCTTGGAAAAATGTTGCTATGTGAAAGAGGCCGACATAAAAGGCCACATATTGCATGACTCCATTTATGTGTAATGTCCAGAATATGCAAATCTATAGCGACAGAAAGCAGATATGTGGTTGCTTAGACAGGGGAGGTGGAAAGGGGCAAAGGCAAACAGTAACTGTTAAGAGGGTACTGGGTTTCTTTTAGAGCATGATGAATATATTCTGAAGTCAGCTGTGGCGATAGCTGTAAACACTGCAAATACACTAAAGACCATTGAATTGTATATTTTAAAGGGTTGAATTATATGATACTTAAGTTATATCTCGGGCCAGGGATTTAGGTCAGTGATGCTGCTTCCTGCTTTGCAAGCCTGAGGTCCTGAGTTTGATCCCCAGTACCAAAAAAAAAGTTCATAAGTTATATCTCAATAAAGTTGGTACAAAAATACACTCATTGCTACAATATAAAAATCTCTTTAACATTTAATGCCAGTGTACTATAAACAAGTACTAAATGGTTATAAAACAATGCTGAAAAAAAAACTCAAATGGGCAAGAGTATCAATAGTATAACGTCATTTATAACAAATTTAAAATTATACAAAACAGTATGATCTGTTAGGGAGCTTTTCATATGCAGTGTAAGTAGAAAGAACTGCCAGAAAAGAAAGCTTCCCTGTGAAAGGGAGGAGGAAGCAGCTGAGCAGGGTAAGTACACAAGAGGATCTTGTGCTGAAAGGCTTGACTGAGTAGTGGGCATATGGTGACTTATTTATTATTCTTTGTATTATCTGTATTAATTACTGCTTAACAAATTAAAATTTAAATTAACAACTACTAATAACATTAACGCTGAATAGATATGATAATGTTATTATAATTACTGGATTTTGTCAATAAGTCAAGAATGAAATGATTAGTAAAAAAAAATTAACAAATGTTAGAAAAATTTAGGGAGCTGGAACACAGGCTGAGAAAATGCTGTTTCATCCCTTTGATTCACTCATCTTTTAATCCAGTTATTTATTTTTAAGGCTGATAATCATATCTATCTCCTCTAATAAGTTAAGTTTCAAGATTTTTTGTGTGTGCTGGGAATCAAAACCAGGCCCTTTGGGCCAGGGATTTAGCTCAGTGGTTTCACCCCCTGCTGCACAAGCGCAAGGACCCAAGTTCAACCCCCCCGTACCAAAAAACAAAACGAAAAACCAGGCCCTTCACATGGTAGGTAAGCACTCTACCACTGAGCTATCCCAAAAAGATTTCCTATCCCAAGATTTCTTGAATTAGTCTCAAAATCTACCTTGATGTCTATAGTATAATACATTTCATGAAAAAGAATGAAATTGTTATCAAGGAAAGTTCAGGGTGTGTTCAGAAAAGCCTCTGGTAAAACAGAGCAATATGTACAAAGCTTTCTGCCAGAGCAGCTATGGATGTAGTTCATTGTACAGCACTTGCCT